CAGTGAAACATGCTCCTGTTCTTCCTTTCTCCTGCTTCAAGCTTGCTTTTTCTGCAGGAGTTGCAGGGAGGTTGGGTTTTGCAGGTGTGGTGTGGTGCAGACTGCACCGCACTGAGCCACGTGTGAGCTGCTGTTCTGGGGCCAGAGCCCCCTGCTTGTGCAAGAACCTTTTGCTGTAGCTCAGCATCATCTGCAAGACACCGTGAAGTGACTGAGGGCAAGCAGAGAGATGCCAGAAGTCAGGGCAGGAGGAGAGCGTGTTCGGCTCAAATAGCAAAGCAGCATTTCAAGCCTGGTTGTAAGCCAGCACTGGGTTTTCACAACAGAACTTTGGTTCAGAGAGTTGTCTCCTGAATCCTAAAACCTGTTTCCTGGTAAATTCTTAATTCTGCAAGTAGGTCACGTCTGCTCTCTCCCTTTGGGTACGGTGGAGACTTGACAGGTCTAGATAATAACTCTCCTTTCTTTGATGTTAGATGGTACTTATTTGTTCCCTGCCATCCGCTTTTCATTTCTTCTCTTCAATTCCTGCAAAACTCTGCTGAACACAAGTTAATGAAGGATAAGACATTTCTAGGTCCCACAAAGTTCCACAGCACGTAGTCTCTCTCCCACCCCCAGCATGACCCATCACATTGGCCTGGCATGGGAGACAGGCTGGAAGGACCACGATGTCCTGGGGAATTGCAGGGCATCCAAAGCTTGTCTTTCAGCTTAAAGACAAGATGTAGTGTTACTGCAGTGCCCAAACTTGAGAGCTCTCTGCCTATAAAAGAAGCCACGCTATATAGGTCATGGCCAGGTAGATAGCAAGAGCATCTCTGCAGTGTGGAGGTCACCTCCAGCTCAGCCAGTGGTGCTAGGCACAGAGGCTGCATTAATGCTATTGGCACTTCAAATTCCACCACACAATGGAATACAATTTCCCCAAATACCCCACCAATACAGTTTCTTACTCTTATATTTTACCTCTAGAACTGAGTCTGTCACAGAGGTTTCAGCTTCCACAGGGAACCTTTTCAAGGCCTTGCCCTAATTACAGAGCAATTCCAGTGACATTTTAAATTATGGGTGAGTTTTACATAATTCTTTTGATACGTGTTGTTATGACATGTAAAATCCTATCTTTGCCAGATGCAGGGAATTATGCAAGATCTTTGTTTTGCCTTTGTCAGGATAATTTGAACCACTGCACATTTAACAAATGCACTTTCAAAGGGCTCGGTCCCGCACGGAGCTGCGATAGTAGAGATAAGCTTCATAAACTTTATTAAACTTCTATTAAATTATATAAGCTAACAGACAAGTTTATATGACAGTGTTCAAACTGTCAAGAGTGTGAGGAGCAGGAAAACTCTTATCCTGAAATGCAGCCCCTTTCCTAAGCTTGCAGCGATGGCTCATTATATGATCCAGTGCTGTTTATTCCATAGGGCCCTGGCTCTGTTGCGGAGCAGACTGCCTGATGCAAATCAGTGGGCAGCAATTCAAAGATCTGTTTTCTTCCCGTCATGCAGTATGTGGCCTTAGCCCTTGTTTACTGCATACTGCTCAGCCTTGCTCTGAAGATGAAATGCTGTTTCCACTTGGGTTTTATCCGTGACTGTCATTACTGCAGTCGTGTCTGTTTGTTTCACATGCAAGCTATTAATTAATTTGTCTCTCTGAAGCCCAGAAAGGCAGGAGAGAAACATTATCATTTTATAGATAAGGAACAGAGACAGAAAGATTCACTCAAGAGTGTCGGTTAATTTGGGATGTTCAACTTGAGATGCTCGTGAGCTGATATCTCCATGCACGTATGGTTTATTGGCTTGCTTTAGTGCTGCTGTGTCTTTCGGTGCTGCTGCCTGACTGCAGAGGCTGCCCAAAGCACTTCCCAAGAGGATTCCAGGATAACTGCAACATCTTGGCGAGGGTTTGCACAGCCCTGATGACAAGGGAAGCTTAAAACTAAGGGGGTGAAGGAAAAGAGTGATAGACTTTGTGGGTGCTTTCTTAGAGGTGTGGATTGATGGATGGACCCCTCAGTCAGCCCATCAAGGAACTGGCTGGGTGGTCACACCAAAGAGCTGTGGTCAGTGGCTCAGTGTTCCTCAGGGGTCAGTGTTGGGACTGACCCTGATCAACGTCTTTTGTCAGTGACATGGAGCAAGTGCACCCTCAGCAAGCTTGTTGATGGCACCAAGCTGTGTGGTGCAGTTGACATGCCGGAGGGAAGGGAAGTCTTGTATCGTGCAGGAAAGCACAGACAGCAGCAGGAACCCAGCGGCAGGGTCCATGTTGAGCTCAACAGCCTCTTTGGCTTTCTTTAGACTATAATTTGCCAGCTTCCACCCCATAAATGAGATACCTGAGAATGACTACAGAAAGTTTCACTTGTCCAAGTTCCAAGAGTATTTCTATAATCTAATCGATGAATTGCATTGATTTATTTGCACTAAGTGACTCCTTCGGGTCTGGATAATAGATAAGGGTATGCATGGTGCTGTACAAACACGTCATAAATAAACGTAGTTTGCAAATCAATTGCCAGATATTAGGGATTAATCTTCCCATAGTAAGATAATGTGATGTCTGCCCATTATGGATTTTTTAAAACACCAAACCTAAGAGGTTTCAGAGTCATTTATTTCAGGAAGGCTGCCCTTTTAAAAAGTGTAAGATCTGGCTTAAAGGTCGGGAGGTTTAAATATCATGGTTACTTACAAAGCATGGCTCCCCGAGTGGTTTGACAGCTGCCTTCATCAGAACAAATCAAGGTCCTGTTCAAATAAGTGCTCAGCCATTGAGGCTGGGTTCTTGCAGGGAATTTCACTCTACCATCCTCTTTGTCTGCTGGTGCTGTATACATAAATTATTGTAAAGGTTACCCCCAAACATTAAAACATGTGAGGAACAACATAGGCATTTTCCATCTTCAAGTCAGTGGCTGGTTCCCAGTGAAAGAGCTGGGGACAGTATAATGTGGTGTTTGCACTACGTGCAGTAGTTTTATGAATAGTTTTATGCAGGCAAAAGACAAAATCTCTGAGCAGAGTTAGACATAATTCCAGGTATGCTGAGCCCAATAAACCCCTTTACAGCCAGCTGGACCAGACTTGACTGTGGCTGTCAGACCCATGGCCAAAGCATTGTGCTCCCAAGATGTGCACGGTCAAGTTGACTTCCAGTCTCATTTATCCCTGTGATGCATTATTATACAGCAGGGAGAAAATGCCAGTTCTGTATCTGATTTTCCAACAAAAAGGGCAAACTTCTTGTCTCTTTATCTTCGTCATCCTCTCTCAGCACATGCAATGCCGCAAGGCAGGGCCCTGTGGTCCAGATGACTTGCCGTCATCTGCATTTCGAGTGTTCCACATAGCAGTTTGTGTGTTTTGTTTTTAATAGCAAAAAGGGCTTTTAAAGTAATTCAGGTGCAATTGTTTTTCATGCTTACAATGTCTTCCTTCTGCTTTTTTCTCATGTTAACTTTTTCATGCATTTTTAGGCAACCATCACTTTATAAGCACAGCATTCACTTCTAAGAAGGGCAGGTAATACCTGAACAATTTGGATTAGGATGCTTTTGTTCTCAGAGTATTTATGGGGCAGGGGAAAGCACATGTTTGCTGCTAAACTCTTAGTTGATTCTACTGATAAATTCACAGGGATAGCCTGAAGTCTAATTGGACACAGAAGAAGTATTTGTCAGAGCACTGTTGCCCATTGCATGTGTGAACTAACAGAAACCATTCAGCTTACAAATCAGTGTTTTCCTTCTGGTTATAGAGCAATAACATGGCTTTATCCCAAGGTTCAGATGACAAATAAAACTGGTTAAAGCCATTTCTACTCAGCCACTGGCCCTTTGCCTGTTTGTTCCAGGATGCAATACACTGGAGCTTGATGAGCTCATTCATTTTGGTTGAGCTTTCTGTAAGTACAGTGATTGCTCCTCGAGGACCCGTTTTGCAGGAGGCCGAGGAGGTGACTTACCCTGTGCTCTGGGCAGTCAGAGCAGAGATCAGCTTCAGTGGTTTAGAACCAGATGGCTGGAAGTTTTATTAGCATTTAATGAAGACTTTTGGTGTTAAGGCAAATGCCTGGATCTGTAGGCAGCCCAACTTTCAGTAACTTCTTCGCCACTTTTGAGTCATCATTAATGCCATCCCACTCAGCGGTTATTCCTAAGCCTCCTCTCTCTTCCCAGCACTTTTTGGCACACACACTTTTAATTTCCTTTAACCCTGCTGGCGATTAACCTTTTCCCCCTCTCTTGTCTCATTTTGCTTTGCAAGCTCCATCCAGCTCTGTAATCTGTGTCAACTGCTTAAGCCCTTCTGCATTTCCATGGCAGTTTTCAGAGGCTTAAGATCTTTGTGCAGATTTTGGTGAAGGTTTAGCAGCTGCTTCCCCTCCCCGTTGCTGTGTTGGCCAAGGGACTGGAGTCTGCTTTCTTCTTTCACGCCATTGCTGAGCAATTCTTCACTGTTGAGCTTCACTGTGACCGATCAAAGGCTTTCCCACTGCGGACTTTGATCAAGAAGTAGAAGACTTCCAGCAAAGCATCAGTCCCTTCCTGCTCACTGCACAAGCCAGTACCAAGCGGAAAGTGAGTCTTGTGAAAGTGCTTGTATGAACAAAGCTAGCAGGGTTTTCATCTCCTAAACATTTTCCAGCTTACTGCCTTGGCAAGGTGGATTGCTGTGTGCTTTAAGCCTGCTTCACACCACGAGGTGCTCCTGGAGCTTGTTGGTGCTAACCCCATTCTCATCAGTTCAAGCTGTTTGCCAGGGAGCTCTTGGATGATAAACACAATCTGCTATATATACATCTATCTATCTATCTATCTATCTATCTATCTATCTATCTATCTATCTATCTATCTATCTATCTATCTCTATTTTATATATATACATAAAATGTATATATGTATGTATTTATCTATGTGTGTGTGTGAGTGAGCGTGTGTGTCTTTCATGTATGTGTGTGTGTGTATGTAAATCACTTCATTGTGCTTGTGTGTGAAGACATTTTCCCCCTTGGCAGAATTTAAGCTCTGAGTGGGCTGCTGTCTGTCTGATGTGGAGCACGATGGAAGAATTCTGCCTTTGTCTCCATTGAAGATGAAAATGATTTAGAGCTGGCTCAGTAACATGCCACAGAGAGATGTGCCAAGGCCTGATGAGAGAGGTGAGCCAAAGCTGCTCTGGAGCCAGATGTGTAACTGGGTAGGGTGCAGTCCCCTGCAAGGTGCATGTTATGAGAGGCTGCACTGAGGGGGGGAAGGACCCTCAGCAAGTGACCTGTGGTGGGGGAACACTGATGAGGTGCTGGCTTTGCATGATGCCAGGGATGCTATGGACCTGCAATGGGAAGCTGGCGCCTGCCTGGGCTCCACAGTGTGCATCTTGAATGTTGATTAAGTTTACAGTAAAGGACACAATGGGACCAAGCGTTGGTGACCAAGAAGGTGAGACTGGAGATGTGTTCATAGGTTGAGCCTTCAAGATCATCCAAGCAGAAGAGGACACTAGCTGGTAAGAGCAGCATCCGTATTCCTGACTGGTTTCTGATTTCCTTTGCTTTTTCTCTGTTTTGCTCAGTCTATCCTGATTAAGTGATCATAAAATCCTCTGATTGAAACTCCCTAGAAAACCTCATTATATTACCTAATGCAAAACCTGTGTATTATTTAATGCAAAGCAATCTTTTCACCAGGCTTATTCCCAAATGTTGCCACTACTTCCAAAAGCAGTAATTGTTCTTTTAAACGAAGAACGTTAAAAACCCACCCCCTTTAAACAACAACAAAAGTTCTGCTTTTCCTTAACAAGAAGAGAAGTTTAATTTTTGAAGCTCATTCTGTGTTATTAACTCAATTATCAGAAGGGATGCTTGGATGAGCAGACAATTAAAATAAGGAGAGGCTTAGATGGAAAAGTTCATCAGTGCATTAGAGAGACAATGGGGGAAAGTAAAACTATTTCAGGTACCTTTTGAAGGGAACCATTTGGGAAGGAAATTGGATTAATCAAGTTTTTGAACCGCTTAATTTTGTTATCTAAAAATATTTCATAGATTAACACTGTGACGTACTTACGCATGAGGTAATATCTGAGATCCTTCAGCAACAGGTCTGGATAAAGGTACTTCAAATCAGCATGGGACTCCAGACTTACCGCAGTCTGAGGTGTATTGTGCAGCCAAGGTTAGGATCAAGCCCTGAGACATCCATAACAGACCCCTCTGAACTGTGCCATGGTATTTTGCTGTACTGGTCATAGGTCAGGGTGTGAGCTGAGTCCGGCTAAACTCAATGAGTGGCAGTGGTTTGGTTGCATCTCGTGGGGAATACATCCCACTCTGATCCTTAAGCTCCATCCCCTCCTTTACCTCCCTGAAGTGGCTTTGTCCTTTCCATCATAATTAAAGTGAAACTTCTACTTCGTTGTTCTAAACTGTCTTTGGTAGAGCTGAACAGTGACTGGGATGAACATGCAGTGAAGCCACTGCCAGAAGCCAGAAATACCCGTGAGCAGGAGTCATTTTCCTTCTGACATTTCATTCCCATTACCCCTTCCCTGGAGCACATGCATGCGCAGCACCGGGGATGCTGCAAGTATTCTTTGGAGGGTTTCTGAATACAACACTAATTCATGTAATCTCTTTTCTACCTTTTATTTTTCCCTGTTCTCCTTGAGAAGGTGTCTGATAACCTTTCCTTTCTCTGATGTGTCTGCTTGAGGTTTTGCTTGTAGAGCTGAAGCCACTGACAGCTCAGATCAGCATCTCACCACATCAACCAGCTCTGTGCACTGCAACCACCAGGACAGAGACAACTCTTCTTCCGTGTACAAATGTGATGGCTCTTAGTGGAGGCTGGACCTGTGACCCTGTCCTCAGCAAGGAGGCAACTGAGAAAAGGAGTGTGACAGACAATGTGTGATGCTGAGAAACCCAGGGGAGATGAAAGCTTTCATCCTACCCTTCCAGTCGTTGAATTTAGGTGAGAAATGCCAATCATATGTGGGGAAAAAATTAGGACTATGGGTGCTTGAAAGTAATTTTCCATAGGTGGTATTTAAGAATCTCAACTTGCAAATCATTAATAATGATCTTTGAAAGGAGACCTATAAACTGTCTTCCTGATGAGGTGGAATAATTTATTCCTTCAATTTATCTGATTAATGTAAAATGTGGTTCAAAAATGGGTTTTCTTTAATATTTCAGCTTTCCCATGAGAGGAGCTGCAGAAGGGCACAGTGATTGAGTGCCCCCGAACTGCCATGGCATGTTCCCAAAGCAGGCAAAGCTCTGCCACCGGAGCCGATCAGCAATAAGACCATCAGGCACCAGCAAACCCAGCTTGGGTCCTGACCCTGCTCTCCACAAGGCATGAGCCTTGATGCCAGGCTCAAAGGAGTGGGCAGGGCCCCACAGTTCTGCTCACTCATGCTAGGGAAGCTAGTTTCTTAACGTGTGAATTTAGAATTCTAAGTTGCTGAGAACATGTCCCCCAAAAAAGAGATGAAAAAAGGCAAAAAGCTGGTGCTGTTCAGGGTAAATTGCATAGTAAGGCTTTTATCTAAGAAATAGATTTATCTCAAACAGAATCCCAGACTGGTTTGGGTTGGAAGGGACCTTAAAGCTGATCCAGTTCCATCCCCCCTGCCACGGGCAGGGACACCTTCCACTAGAGCAGCTTGCTCCAAGCCTCTGTGTCCAACCTGGCCTTGAACACTGGCAGGGATGGGGCAGCCACAGCTTCTCTGGGCACCCTGTGCCAATGCCTCACCACAGTAAAGAATTACTTCGTAACATCTAATCTAAATCTCCCCTCTGTCAGATTAAAGCCATTCCTCCCCCTGTCCTGTCACTACGTGCCCTTGTAAAAAAAAATAGGCTTTCTGGTATTCCTTTATGTCATCTTTGCAGAGCCAAAGTCAGACAAAACCATGGTGTCTTCGTCTTAAACTGCGTAGGAAACTGAGCTCCAATATTTAGAGCAGCAATTTGCTGAGCTGGTAAAACACATCATGTTTTGTGTCCTCCATGGACCATGTTGAGCCTACAGTAAACTGAAGGGTCCATCTGTGGTGGTCTTGGCTTGATCACTCAAGTTGTGCCTCTCTGATTCAGAAAGACATAGGATAAGGGTAATGCTAATACAGAAGGGTCTATATCCCAGTGAAAGCTAAGCAATGGTGTAGTGCATCAGTGGTGGAGTGCAGAGCCATTAAATACCTGCAGGGATAAAAATCAGAGTCCAGACAAGAGGTATTCCGTTTTAGAGAGAATTATTTATTAGAAGATAGGAGGTTGTTACGTACAGATTCTGTCCTGCAAAAGTGTCCTGGTCACAGATATGTCAGGGAGACATTTAAACCCATTAGAGCTGGCTCTGGTCTCCATGCAGAGATACTCAAGACACACCAGAGCTCTGCCAGACCTGGCTCTCCTGCTGCTACTCAGCTGGGGAGAGGCCTGGCGTACCACAGCATCCCTGAGCTCATTACACAGCCTTTATCCCACTGGAAAACCTGGCCTGTGGACTGGAAACCAATGGTGGGAACACCAGGCGGTGCTGCAGAAGGGGCATCGCTCTTCCCTGGAGTCACTTAGGGAGATTTTATTCCCCAAGTAGGGAATTGTCTTCCATTGTGCCAGCGATGTCGCAAGTGGCTACAGAGATACAGCCATGCTGTGAGGTAGCACGAGGTAAATTAAAAGGGAAGAAAAACAAGGAAAAGAAAAAAGAAAGATCTCTGGGATACAGAGAAGACCTCTTCCCACCCTCCTTCACCCCAAAACCAGGCCAAGCCCCTGCAGAGACCTCTGAGAAAGCAGCTCTGACAGGTCGGTCACAAAAAGGTGCCAGTTTTGCCTCATGATAGCTGTTCTCCTAGCTGTATTCCTCCCAGTTTCACAGGTGACCTGTTTTCTTTTGGCTTGGCAGGTAGCATTTGTCAGCCTTCCATAGGCTCAGGGCTTTGCCAAGTGAAGCGCCGATGCAGCAGAGAGCTGCTGTGCTGGTTTTGCACCTCCCGAGCTGACTCCACGTCCATGGTATGGTGCATTCTGGAGACAGGATCAATGGCAGGGGAAAGGCATCGTAGAACCACAGAGGGGTTTGGGTTGGAAGGAACCCTAAAGCTCTCCCTCCTGCCATGGGCACGGACCCCTTCCACTAGAGCAGGATGCTCCAAGCCCCACCAGCCATCACACTGGCAATAGTGAAGACCCTCACACCAAGCCTTCTGCACATGGTTAGTGGCTCATGGGCAGCATAGGGCTCAGTTTAACACCAGCCCTTCGACTGGTATGTCCTTACTCCACGTGTGTATCTTACTGTACTCTGTCACTGTGGCAGAGCAAAGTGGTTTGATCAGTAGCTGTAAGGATTTTTTTGCTGGACAACCATCATATGGAAATTTTCCCTATATCTAGCAGATTTCTTAAAGAAAGGTGTTATCCAGGAATCATATCTTTAACTGTATGGGTGCTGATGGATAAATAAATACTCTAGAGTCTGGCTCCTTACTCTGGTCCTCTGCTGAAACCCCATTCTTGTCTACCCAAGGGTCTTTGCTGGCTGGGTCAGATTATCACCTCCCTTCACCGTCTCTAAAGGCACATTTAACTCTATTTGTCCTTATTAAATCCCAGTCTATGGCTCCAGAGAGTACATGTAAAACCCTGGGCATAATCCCTTTCTTTGCTCATAGCGTACAAGAGCTTTTATTTGCTGTCAGGACTCTTACCAGCAGTATTGTCCTTTCTGTCCAGAACAGTCTGAAAGAAGAACAGGTTTGGCAGGAATTTAACACAAGTGTCAGAACCAGCCGGTTGTGCCTCATCTATCACCAAATCTCTCTTCTCATCTCAGTCCAAGAGAGGGTTTGTTACCTGGTATGTTAGAAACCTCTGAAACTAGGGACTTGGCAGTGAATGCTCACAGCTGATGTCAATGTCAGCATGAAAGATGAGTCAAACTACGGCGCTCAGAAGGGACAATTTATGAGATGAGCATGCTTCTTTCACTGCAGATGACCTTCAAGGTTGTAGGGACTGGGGATGGGGAATAACCATAGGACTGCAGCTATAAAGCAGAAGCAGCAGACCTCTGGTTAGCTCTAGCATAATAATTGCTCAACATGGAGCGAGCTCTGCCACAAATATGCCTATTTTTTAATGAGGTTTGATGTTCCTAAGGCACTTGGGCTCCTTTTTGGGAACATGCACCCCAGTAAGTTTGATGTTTGGGGTTGGGAGGGTTAAGAGGAAGGGCATACCACACTTAGCTGGAGGGAACAGATGCTCCATACTGAGTTGTCAAAACATCTGGAGCACTCATGGCCACATCCTCAATTTATAAGGAATTCTGTGGCATTAGTTGTGCTCCCACCTTCTTCACCCTTTGGAAAGGGATGAGCTGAAGACCCCCAGACCCTGTGAAGGACAGTGAGATGGGGAGGACAGCAAGCAAGCCAGAGCTCTTCGCCTACTATTTGCCACAAAAAAATACCCAGAACTGAGGGGTTGATCTAACACATAATCTCCTTCCCTCCTTTCTCAGCCACAGCCTTAAAACACCCCAACACTGTCCTAGCTTGGTCTGAAGTCTAATTCCAGCTTGGTCAAGGGGAGGCACACAGAGCAGCCAGCAGAATACTTGGTTTTAATTCCAGGCTAACATTTATAGGTAGCTTTTTGTGTCCATTTCCATTATTCCCTTTCAGAGCTGGTTCTTCAGCCACCACAGTTTTTTCCTAGGATTTCTTAAAACACCTTCATGAATGAAGCTCAACTGTCAGAGCTGCCTGCATGCTGTAGGTGAGGAAGATCCTCACTGATGATTCTTCAGAGCAAAGGCAGGAGAGAGGGGTGTTTTCTCTCCAGGGCATGTACATAAAGGCAGAAGGCATGGGAGCCTTTTACCTCCAGACCAGATAAAGCTGGGCCATAAAGCGGACCTGCAGTGATGCCCAGCAAAGGCTGAGCATCCTCAAGGTGCCACATTGGCACAAGAGCTGCTTGACTTGCCACTTCCCTTTGGGCTCCCCTGTCCTGAGGGGTGCTGTGAGGTAGCACTACGTGGCTGCACTAAGGAAGGTCTCATGGGGAGGGCAGACATGGAGGAGCTGGAGAAGCTCAGTGCAATGGAGTGCCATTCACTGGGGCTCCGGCAGTGCACGGCAGAGGGGCCATTACCAAGACTTCATGGCACTTGACTGTCACTATGTTTTGAGTATCTCAGATGGGCGTGTAAGACCAGTACTACCAATACCCAAAAGACCATGTTCTCATTTGTATAGCGAATGTCATGACAGGGGAGTAACCCGTTCCATAGATTTTGAACATCAGCTACAGTATCTTCCACGACTTTCCAATCGAACTGCCAACCTTTTCCCTTTGAAATTAACCATGGATGTACATCATATAATCAAACAAGCTTTTTAAAAAGTACATCTTAATATAAATAGTTTATTCAGTGCATGGTTGTGTGTACAACAAATAATAAACAACTCTTTCGTACGAGGCAAAAAGCTGCCTGTACACAGCTATGTCAGTTTTGGAGCACAGAATCCAACGATGATTAATGCACAAAATCTTACACATCATGCAACTCTATGCCAATATTCCAACTTTCTCCCATGCAACAGACATGATGACCTAAATGGAAACCTAACTACATTTTTTAAACAAGTGTTTCCAATAGCATGTATAAGTATATGTTGTTTAGGGGTAACCTGTCCTAACGCTTCCTCCTACACAATATTCACGTGCCCGTTACAGTGAAAGAAGGACTTTTACAAATAAGACGTTTCTTATAAAAAAATTAAGTCACCTTAATTCCACAGTTTCTGTCTTTAGAAAAGAAGCCACGACAATAGTTTAACATGACACACAAAATGGAATTAAGAGAAATCTACACTGGGGGATCATTTTATCCCTTTCTGTTAACTTCCACTTGGGATAACAAAACAACTCGATTCCTACAGACTGGGGTTAGCACAAGAACTTTACCAGAAACTACAAATCTATAAAAATTTATATTATTTTGTTGTGTTTAAAACCACAAGAACACTGTTTGCTTGAGCCTGAGACACCAACTCTCAGTTCCAACCCTGAATTTAGTATTAGTTGTTTTAAAGACAGAGCTTTAAAGACCCATTGGAGTTCAGAAAGCAAAAAGTTGCACTATTCCAAATTAAAAGGTTACATTTTTGTCTTTATCAAGCCTTAGATATAAAACGGTAAGCCAAGGAAACAACAGAGTTTACGTGTTTGTTTTTTCTTTGCCCCTATAAAACATACAAGCATTAAAATTTCCTTTGAAGAGCAAAAGTGGTCTTTTTTTTTTTTCTGAGTTGGAAAGCAAATTCTTATCAGCAGTGAACGCTGTGAAATGTTTTTGTTTCGTATTCCACAAAGCATAGGAGAGAGAGAGAAAGAGAGAGAGAAAAAGAGACAGAGAGAAAGAGCTGGACATTTCTTCTCCGAGATTTATTCCGCAGTTATGTTTGTTGGCTATCCAACTGCCTGGTGATATGCACAAGCATATTCTACATTATTGGGGTATATCCTTTGACAACCAGTAGATCTAATGGCTGATAAACGAGTGACCTATGCAAGTTCGGTGGCTTGTCCTGGGCAATTGAATGGTTGGATGAAAGACTGCTAGTAAGAATTCAACTGCATCCAGAGGTAAGGTTCTGTTTAGAGAGCACTTGGCTTGCCTGAACCTGGCTACGTTGACTCGTTTTGGCTCATGGATTTACCCCCGTTTAGCACTCCTGAAACACTTCTGCTCTTTGTTGGGGTCCCACTTCCAGATCTTGAGAACTCTGTGAGATCGTGGAGAGAAGGCTCTTTGTACATGGCCACTGCAAAGCAAAAGAAAGGCAGCACATCAGCACGTGGTATGGGCTGCTCAGTCTGCTGGTGCAAAGTCCAGCTGTGAAACACTGGAAGTTTTCCTTAGCTAATGTGCAATATAAAGAATGAATGGAAGAAACACAGCAAAGAGTCCTCTTCCATTTCCAACATTCCCCAAGAACCTCTGAGGTCCTCTTCAAGGGAATGGCATTTTAGAGAAGGGAAAAAAGGCAGGTCCCTCCCTCTCCCAGTTAAATCGCCCACCTACCCACAGCACTTCCAAAGCTCTGCAAGACAGACCTAAGCTGATCTAAATCAGCATTTCCTTATTAATAGTGAAGTAGCACTGTCAACAGCTGTGATTTGACCTGCTATCTGTACACGTAGCCTAAGGAGGTGGGTGTAAAAATGGATTTTCAGTCTTCCATTTCCTGTTTTCACACACATCAGAGATGAGGATCGACATTGACATCAGTTGCCTAACACATAGTCCTGAATGTAGACTACCGACCTACACAGGGCTGTGCATCTTTGAAATATCCCCTCTGATTTCAAAATGGCACTCCTTTAAAAGGCTAAGAGCATAACCCAGAAGTAGAAGGGTCCATTCCGCTTTAAGGAAGGAGCATATGGAAAGTTGTTATTCTGGAGAAAAGGAGCACCTCCATATATTGACTGAGATCTCCCTCTTTGCGCTGACCAAAAAGGGAGCCAAGTCTGCCCACAGTCCTGATTCAGATCCTTCAGTTAACTGGGATGACTGTATGTCCTAGCTTTTAATACACAGCGATATATATATGCCACACGCATTCTTACCTTTAATCACATACTGATGCCACATTAATTGCTGTTTAATAAGCACCACACATTAGAGCATTAAACCAATCAAACATAGACAAACAAACATCCTGTAACATAAAGCACAGGTTGACAAGCTATAGAGCAAGTCACTAATGGCCTGTAAGCACATGTCTGGGTCATTCTGGGCAGATCCTTCATTATCTTATAATGGAGACAGTGTGGACTTTGGCTACAAAGACAATACTATGTGTATTTGGTTAGACTAGAGAAATACAGAAGTAAGATAGAAAAACAACAAAAAAAATAGGCTCTGGTTAGATTCATGGTGTGTTACAGAGCATTATAAGTATATATGTAAGTAGCTGAACCCTTCAAATATGTCTGCACTGCAATTAAACTTCTCTGACACAAGATAACGTCAGTATATATAGATGGGCCAAACCCAAGCCATTACCTTTTAATGGTTTTGGAAGGAAGTGTGCTGCAGGTTTATTTTTCTTCACGTGGTTTCCTTTCATGATTTCTCCTTCTTTGTTAAGACCCAAATACCAACCCCGGCCGGACTGTTGCTGTCTGTAGATCATTGAAGAGTATGTCACATAGTAGTTTTCAAATACCGATTCTTTGAACTTGCATTCAGGTGTAAAATGTTCCTGTAAGAAAGTAACAGATCAATACGTGCTGCATCTCACATTAGTTAATGAAAAAGCATCCAATATTCATTGCTTTCCCAACAGTTAAAAGACATACCTCTCATCCTCCACTATCCAATTACGGAGCATGGGCCTAAAAGTATTAACAAAAGAGTAACCCAATTTGAAACCCGTGAAGTGGTGCTGTGAGCAGCTCAAAGTAGCATAATAAAGTCTTTTTGAACAACGAGTAAAAAGACTAAGTGAAGAATTATTGATTGATGCAACTAATAGATGTTAGGCAGACACAGCCCTGATGCCAGCCCCAAAGGACCAGCTGTGGTCCAGCCCCATGGGTGAGAAGTAAGGCCACTTTGTAATGCCTTTGTGCATTAGTTGCTGGTCTTAACTGCTGCTGAGGAAAGTGCAATAAAAATTGAAAGCCAAGATGCCATGAGTAAATGGTTCTCTCTGTACTAACCCAGCAGTAGTAATTTAGCTTGTAGCAGCTGCCTCTTTGGTCTAATCTATGTTCTTACTCAGCCCAGCATATCATCCACTGAAAGCTCAGCTGTCAGAGACCCACTGCACACATCAGCCTCTGCTCTGAGACTCTACCTATAGCAGCAAGCTTAAGTCTTCATGTTGAATTGCACTGCTTCTTTTGGGGAGATGCTATTGAGACAATAGTTGAAGAGCAATAAATCAGGAGAGAGCCTTTATCTTCCTGCCAGTGGTGTGACTGCCTCTCCCTGTGCAATGAATCAATACTTTTTGGTACTATTGCCCAAGTTCAGAAAGCGATACAGAAGTGAACTATGGGTCTTGGAGGGATCTAAAGCCAAAACACCAGTCCTGAAAGCATCACTGAGCTGCTTCCTAAAGGCCTCTGGGTGCTTCAGGGTTTTTAACATTACAAGCTCTGACAACAGCTCACCTATGGACCCCTAAAAGTCCATAAAACCTGAAGGAGGAAGGTCTGGTGATGCCAATGTTAGTATCATCACAGTCTTGCCTGCCATTGCACTGCACAGCAGCCAGCTGCTGGCTTTTTTTTCCTTGTGCTTAAAGTATCCTACAGCAGTGGGAAAGAAAGGAGGAAAAATACATGCTTGCATAATGACTGTCATTCTGAATTGAAAAAAAAATCAAAGAAAATTAAATGTCTCAGGAGCTTAAGATGTTCTTATGTAGTTTCTCAAATATTTTTGTGTGAGAACTAGATGGTACTCAAAAAAAAATCCCCAAACCCACAATTGTACCTTTTCTGCACATCTTTTGCCATTTGCCTTCTGATAGGGAAAAAGCAAAACCCTCCCATCCTCTGAGTGGCATTTGCTTCAACAAAGAATGTGAAGCAAGCAATTCTCTTCTTTATTCTTCAAGCTAATTGGCTGTTATTTAGTTAATTGACAATTGGTTTCAATTGCTGTCAAACAGGGACAGGCACAGCATTTTTGCATGAGTTCTAAATAAAAGCCTTCCATCACTGTTCCCTGCCCAGCGCTAGCCATGCTAACAAAGACTATTCCAAGTGCAGCATCCAATTAGCAGCAAAATGGAAAACTACAGTGCTCCCACTGGAAGATTATGGCTTGGGTACAGTAATTTGGAGCTGTTTTGGGTACAAAAGGCTTGCTTTGCACAGCAGCAGAGGGTCAGATTGCCAACAGACCCACAATATTTACTCTGGCTCTCTGAGGATGCAAGTTAACCTCAGTACGAGCAGCAGGAGCCATCGAGTCTCTTGAAACAAGGACAGAAACAGTGGGGAGACAGAAAGACAGACACTAGAAGACTCCTTCACCCTGATTTTGTCCCTTAGCCATGAGGCTTGTGATAACAAGCCATGGTGGAAGTGCTGTGCGTTTGCAGTTGAGCCCATGTACATCCAGACACCAGCCTGACAACCATGCCCCTTGAGCATCACAGCCAGCAGTCCTCTTCCTGGAGCATCCTGCAATTAAGCTAGCATAGAATGGTTTGGATTGGAAGGTACCTGAAGGCTCATCCAGTTCCAACCCCATGCCTTTAATTTAATCCAATGTGTTTCTTTCCTATGTAGAAGAGTCAGGGAGGAGAACTGCAGAGGGAAGCTCTGAAGGAGGAACACTAGCAAATGTGCTCCTGATTTGGGGGCATTACAATTAAAATGTACTTTTCTGAGCTTGGTAAATCTGTGGCAACCCAGCTGGGCACGGGCAGGACTTGTACCAGCACATCAGTTCAAAATGCAGTGCAGAGCAGCAAGTGCAAGTTGGCCATTATGTTCTTTTTGCTAGCAAATTCTTTACTAATGTCTTGAGGAAAGGCAAGTTAGAGCTGGAGAGAGCTGAGTAACTCCAATTAAAACCGATCTAGTCAATCCTATTGGGAATTTATAAACATGAATGAGTATTGAATTCTAAGGCCATTTTTCCCTGTCTTTCAGGTGTCCTCTTTGCCCATCTTCGCAATGAAACTAATTTGAGTAAATTCTGAGAAGTCCAATGGCATGAATACACCGTTCCACAAAGCAGCTGAAAAATAAGTATTTGTGTGAAATAGTATTTCAATCACAGAAGTCAAGGGTGATGGCACCAACACGACAGTAAACTGCACTTACCCAAGCCCCTCACGCATGCACCCTTCACATGAATGGATGAGTGAATGGATGAATAAATAAAAGTCAAACAAAGAGCTGGGTTCACTGTAGTCATGAGTCAGCCAGGCTTAAGTAAGGAAGAAGAACTGTCAGATTTTGAGCTGATCAGCTGAACTGATGAAATATTCCATCATGGAATATCTGCAGCTGCATTAAAGATGCGAAAAACGAATTGAAAAGAATAATTTGGTGTATGAGACAATGGTAAAAGGCCTTGTGCATACACTTAAAGTGATTGTATTCTAGTATGACTAGATTGTATCTAAACTAATCTAGTCTTCTATCCTGCAGTTACCCTACAGCAGTGGATAGGAACAATCAGAAGCTTTATTCAGATGGTTTTAGTGCTAAGGGAACGAAGAAACAACAAGAAAAAGTAACTTTGAAAAGTATTCAGGTACTTGGGAAACTTGGGAAATGTTCTTATATATTGAGCCTATAATTGTGTTCCATGAGATCAGTGACTACGTCTGTGTATGGCATTTATTTCCTCCACTTAATGAAAACTGGATTTTTTCCCCTCCATATCCTGATTTCTTTCAGGTCTATAACGTAGCCCAGGATTCCATTCTATGTTCATGAATTTTTGAAGGAGCCTCTTTAAGACTCCAGAGCAGTGATTTTCTGCACCACTGAGCCTGCCTTTTTTTATTGGCAGAGATTGATTTTCTCCATCTTGGCATGTGAAGTTCCAGGGTGTATCCTCTGGATCATCACCCTGTAATGTGCAGGGATATCAACAGCACAAGATGTGAATACTTCAACTTTAATGTTCTCAGAAATAACAGCTTTTAGATCACCAGTCCCAGAAGACTCTCTGAAGAAACTGGTGTTTCATGAAGCCACCAAAAGCTGTTTCCTATAGTGAAGGAAACTCGTTATCCTGAAGCAATTTCTTTTGGATCAGATCTATTACAGTTCCCACAGATAGGTTCCAATCCCATTTTGCCCATTTTGCTTAAATTTACCTATTTTGAGGAATCCTAGTGATGGCAGATAACATATGAATATATTTGACACCGTCCCATATGACATCTTGACTCTAAACTGAAAGAGGGTGCTGAGGCACTGGCACAGGGTGCCCAGAGAAGCTGTGGCTGCCCCATCCCTGGCAGTGTTATGCCAGTACAGTGAGGACTTTTGTTTTGGCTATGACTATTCCAGGTGTGTTCTCACAAAGACATTGTAGGAAGCCCAAAGCCCTCAGGAGATGCTGTAAAGTTGAACTAACTGCTGCTAGGACAAAAACCCTACTGCTGAACAGCGATATGTGGAAGGCTGTAATTCCCCTTGGGTTCATTTCAATCTGAAGGCATGTGTACCAGCCATGTGACCACGGAAATAAGAAACATAAAAAATGATACAGAAAAGGTACACTAAATTCTTTCAACAGGAAACCTATTTACTGCCAGGAGTCATAGGAAGGCACGGTTTTCCTGGAAGGTGATCCCAAACAACATAGCATGGGATTGTCTGGGATAGTGCAATAAGCAGGAGTTGCTCAAGTGAAACACAAACTATCAGTGGTGTGTAAATTTAGCTAGGACAAAGCTTTCAGAAAGAGTATAATGGAGCCCAAGGAAGCAGCTGGATATCCAGCATCTCCAGAGTAAGATTTCAGGTATCCTCTGAAGCTATGAGAAAAGCACTGAAAAGATCCTGTAATTATTCCCTTTACATTGTTCCAGTGTGCAGCAAAGCAAATGCACAAACTAGGGGGAAAATGCACATGGTGAACTGAAGCAGAAAACATACTCATTATGCAGAGATTCCAAGGTTGGAGTTGTGTTCGTTATGGTTTTACCAGCCTTAGCAGTGACTCAGTTGTGAAAACTTGTGCAAGTCATCTTTGCTCAGGTTTTTAAGTGGCATTTAGGCACCCCAGTTACTACCTATTTCGAGCTTGGTGCATCACCTCTCAGTATGCTCTGCCCATGGAAAGGATGTATTGCCCAATGACCCCAGGGAAGACTCAGGACTGTAAACAATGCTCAGTTTAATTGAGATAGGAACGATGCGTGATCATATTATTGTTCCCTTTTGGTGATGCTTCACTTCTATGACTACATCAATTAACCAAAGCACTCCTTAACTGGGGCAAGAGAGCTAACGCAGGATACGTACAGAAAGAAGACACTCTCCTGATGACTGCAGAAGAAATGAAATGTGTTAGAGAAAGCCAGTAATGGGGTTTAAAAGTTCTGCAAGATGCCCAGGAGAACACCTCACAGATGACAAACGCAGGTCCCTTTGTTAATCCATCCCACAAAGTTATGAGATGTAATTTACTTGGTATGAATAAGGCAGAGAGAAGGTCCACTTTGCCCCCAAATGCATCAGTGCTTCTGCAGACTGTGCACCTCGGATGATCATGGAAGCATGGTACAGGGAAACCTTTGCAATTACCTGAATAATCAAGCCCTCTATTAATATTTTAATACCTTCTAATGCTCGCCTCGACCCTTTATTAATCTCTGTGGCTTTAGGGCACCAGACTTGCCAGTTCTAGTTCAAAATCAGTGAAATTTTAATAAGATAAAAGGAAGAAACTAGTCTTTAAAGATTGCCTGTTTTGTGAGACTTAGGAAGGTTCATTAAGCAGTAAGAGCCTGTCAGGTTGTCTGAAGGCTCTAAACTAGACTGATAAAGATCAACATATATGATACAATTCTACTGTTACCTAGAAGCTGTTTTTTAATAGCATTTAATTTTTATTGTTTCACATATACAGAAGTAATATTACTGCTTCCAAATCTGTAAGGGAAAGCCCCTGTGTTAATCTGTAATAAAGCCTCTTTGGAGAAGGATCTTCTCTACTAGTTTTGGGTTTAAAAAAGAAAAGATTAAAGTAACTTTCTCAATGCCTCACCAAATGCTGTACTGCATGATAAAGCTCTATGATTCCTGCACTGCACTCCCAGGTCTGGTCATGGACTGGTTAACACCACTATAGCCTCTGGTTAACTGTCGTGGTTAAACCCATCAGGCAACCAAAGCCCCACACAGCTTGCTCAATCCCCACCTCCACAGTGGGATGGGGGGAGAATCGGAGGAGCAAAAGTGAGAAAACTCATGGGTTGAGGCTATGACAGCTCAATAAGCACAGCAAAAGCCGTGTGTGCAAGCAAAGCAAAACAAGGAACCCACCCATCACCTCCCATGGGCAGGCGGGCGCCCAGCACCCAGCCATCTCCAGCAAAGTAGGGCTCTGTTCCCCTTTCCCTCTTCTTCCCCAGGCTTTATATGCTGTCATTTGAGTGGAATATTCCCCGGTAAAGCAGAGCCATGTCCTCCCCAACCACCCATTTACCCTCAGCCCACCTGCTGGTAGGGCAGCAGGAGAAGCAGAAAAGGCCCTGACTCAGCAACAACCAATACTGCCCTCAGCACAAATCCAAGCCACAGCCCCATACTAGCTGCCACATGGAGAATCAACTCTACCCCAACCAAAACCACAGTAACCCAAGCTAAAAAATGGGAGATGGAAGCATCCTGCATGTTTTCCCTGTACTTCCATCCTCTGATCATGTATCCTCTAGGCGTGTGCCACTGATGATCTTTGGGTGGTCAGCTTGCTGGATCTGCCACAGCTTCTCATGATCCTCCCTCCCATATAACTAAGCCAAGCAGAGGAGCTAAGCTTTCCTTTCTGAGCAAAGCACCAAGAGCACCCACCAAGGAGCTCCACTGAAAAGCAAGAGCTGCCTCAATACGTGACCTGCATGGGCATTACAGAAAACAGGGATGTTGGAAAAGATGTGCTCCCTGAAAACATGCTGCTGAGAGATGTTCAACCTGGATGAGAAATCAAGTCACCTTACATCCCTGAAGGCAGCTGAAGCCGGTGACTGCACCTATAGGTATAGATATAGGTAGCTATATAGGTATAGGTATATACCTATAGGTAGCTGCGTGTAGTGTATGAATACCCAGAGCCCACCAAGGCAGTTCCCCCCTTGGGATCATGCCAGCTGGTGGATCCCATTCAAAACTACAAGAGAGCTCCCTTTTCCTCCCAGTAGGCTCATGATTTTCCCCGGAGCAGCCAATCCTTTGAATCATTTTCTGAAGCTCATTCATAGAATCATAGAATGGTTTGGACTGGAAGGGACCTTCAAAGCTCATGCGGTCCAATCCCCCCGCGATGAGCAGGGACCCTTCCAGTAGACCGAGCTGCCCAGAAGCCCATCCAGCCTGGCCTTGAATGCCTCCCTTATCTCTGCTCCCTGTGACAGTGGCTTCCAGAGGTGAAGCCAGCACTGTGGAACGCATTTAAAATGTGTCTGCAGGTTTTTTTTTGTCATAAGCAAATTTGTCTTATTTTTATGCAGCTTTTTTTCTATCAGCTTTTCACTTTGGAAAACGGCACATAAAAGTACCCAGTGTGTCTCGTCTGTGCCATTCATTACCCCACATCTCTCTATCATCTCTCTGCTTATTCATCTCTTGTCTTAACTAAGCGGGCCTAATCTTTTTACATCTCTCCTCATGTGAAAGGTTCTCTGTGCCTCTAATCGCTTCCATTACCCTTCACTGAATCCTTTCCGTTTTCCTCCATCATTTCCAGAGCTGAAACACAAGCTTTAAAAAGAAGCTGTACCGTTGGGTTGTGTAACAGAGGTATTTTCAGTCATTTTTTCTTGTGACCAAGCAAAAGTCTTTGCTGCTCAGCCTCATTATTGTGCATTCATACAAAAGTCCTCTATCTTTTGTGTCTCTGATAAATATGGTCCAATTTGATGGTATTTCTGACCCCCTGATCCGTCAGTGTACCCAAGCTTAAATATTAAAAGAAGGGAGAAGGAAGCAAAAGCAGATAGGACAGCTTTCTTCCCCAGAACTAGAGCAGAGAGCCCCAAAGATGCTAAGCAACCTGTTTTATAACATACCCATTATTACACAGATAACCTGCCAGCCATTGCAATCAGATTTCTAGCAGTTCTAATTGACATCAAATCTTGGTATTGTCAAATCTCTCTGACACAGCTGTTGTGCAGAATGTCCTTGGCTGAAGTGTGTCATGCATTGCTTTAAAGAAAAGTATCTAAGTTGAAAAACTCCTTTGAAGTATGAGAACTATGTTCTGCTTCCAGTTACAGCCAGCCCTGCGTCCCACTTGTTTT